TCCTCAAGTTCCCTGGAGAGATCACCCCGCTGCTTCTCTGCTTTCGCCCGAGAGGCACGTTCAGCCTCTATCTCTTCCTCCAGTTCCTCAATACGAGCCTAGAGAACAACAGGAAACACTAAGACTGTGGCTTTGTTCTGGGGTCAACACCAGTATGGCTGTCGGCAGAGTTCTGCTGGCATAACATCACAGAATAGATGCAGCCTACACTGACAACAGGGGTTCCAGTGACAAAGGAACATCACCTCCCTGAACTGGGGTAGCTACATCCAAAGACCCATTGAGAGAAATTTGGGTCCCTGATACATCATGTTCACTGAGTCCACCTCTTTCCATTTCACTTTATTTACACAGATGTTAAAGATGTTTTTGGGGTCTCCTGACCTCAGGGCCCTAGTACAACTCCCCTCCTTTCTCCCTCCTCTTGTCAGCACTGCCTATATCGACAAAAGCTTTCTTCCACCAACACAGCTGCATCTACACTAGGGGGTAGGTCGGCAAATCTATGTCAGTCAGGGATGTGGTTTTATCAAACTCCTGGCAGACATGACTATGTCAACCTAACTTAGACCAAGCCTAAGAAAGATGGCTTCCTTTTAACTGAATTTGTTCTGAAGGCCAGAAAAGAAAAAATGTATGACTAGCCTGTAACTCTTTGATCTTCTTCTGCAGCTGGATGCCCAGGACTTGTTCATCCTCAATTTTGCTTTGGAACTGACTGATTTCAAAGTCTTTCCTTTTCACACGAAAAAAAAAAAAGTTAGTGCTGGAACAAAATGTATCTGCATGACACCCCCTGCCAACCATACCTACTTCTTCAGTTTTTCCTCCAGCTGCTGCTTATCATTTTCTAAATCCATTGTGGATTCCTGGGCCAGCTTCAAATCTCCTTCAAGTTTCCTCTTAGCTCTTTCAAGGTCCATGCGAATCTTCTTCTCTTGCTCCAGTGACCCTTCAAGCTAAACAGAAAAAGATCATAAATTCTCTGCTAACAAGAGCCTAATTTCACACTGGTTTTATTC